CCACCAATGAAATATCAGACCAAACCAAGCCTTTATAGTAGTGAGGTGCCGAAAATCGAACTGGTGTATTTAAGTGAAGAGTGGAATTCTCCGAAACTAGTCTGGCTCACCCCCCCCCCCAATGTAAGAATAGACCATTCCAAGCTTTTACTTGTTTTTAAACAAATATTTAAACAACTCTATTTATTCAATTTATTTTTTAGTCTTTAATCGTTTAGAAATACTTATTTCCCATAAACAAAAAGTCTACGGCGGTAAAATCTGGGGTTCGATTCCCTACTGTGAACACAGCAGATAATCCAATATGGCTTTACAAACACAAACTACACATGGTACTTAGTACTTTCAACCTGAATGATAACTATGCGTCCATGGGGCACAGTGTATCAAACACACACGCACGTACGCCCATCAACAGGGATCCGGTACGATCCCAATATCTACATTCTAAGCGTATCAGTGTTATACCCTTTTGTTTTTTCTTCATTGCTGTGGTTCCCTTCTTTTTCAGCTTGATTTTACGTTCGCGTGAACTACAGTTTATCATACTATCGATATTCACATAGGTGGTACTTCGTTATTAGAAACGTTTGTTAATAAAATACTTTCAATGTTGTTGTTGTTTCGTGGTGTCAATAAGACAAACTTATTGTTGTTGTTCCCAAAAGAACCACATCGAGTGTTGTCTTCATGCATCACTAGAGGGCGATATCATGTTCAAAGATTGTGACAGAGGTTTTTTTGGTCCAGCACAAAGCAACACAACTGGCTATCTTTGCCGTACCCAACACGGGGATCGAACTCAGAATTTTAACATTATAAACCCTCAGTCTTACCACTGAGCTACATACACTTATCTACTAAATAATTTCAAAGCATTTTACGAACTATAGAAAACAAATTAATTTCCAACTGCTTACCTGTTAATCAAGGAGGAAAATATTTAAAATCGAACAGCTTTAACATAATATTTTGGAACAACATGGGACCTATTTGTCCATCGCGGCTATTCCATCCTCAAAACTAAATTAAAATGATTAAAAAAATAAGTTTAAACCCAGCCCTTTGCATTCACATACTTAACTAGCTTTTTTCTTAAACTCACTTAAATTTACTGCCTCCACAACATCTGAGGGTAACCCATTCCAAAATCCAACCATGCTGTTAGAAAAATAAAACTGTCTTAGGTAAAGATGACTCCTATCTTGCCAACATTTATATTTGTGTCCTCTAGTCCTACTGTTCTCATTGTTAAATATAAAAAAGATGATACATCAACATTATCAATCTTAAACACCTCAATCAGATCCCCCTAACTCTTCTTTTTTCATGAGAAAACAATTTGAGAGATTTCAGCCTCTCGTCGTATGACAACCCCTCCATCCCAAGCACCAGTCTAATAACCCTTCTCTGAACTATTTCCAACAATTCAAAGTCTTTTCTAAGATAAGGAGCCCAAGACTGAACACAGTATTCTAAATGTGTCCTAACCAGTGACCTG